AACGGGGAATACAGTCACAGAAACCCAAAGGGCAAAGGGAAACCAAAGCCTGTGCACATACTATCACTTGGGTATCTGCGGGCAGGGAAATCGGAAAAACAGAGGGACGGCAACTATGACCACCCTAGAAAATGCCGTCCCATATCAACGGGAAAAATGCAAACCCCCTTTCCCTGTAAGTTTTTTTCACCCTGAACTGGTACCTCTTCGTACGGGAAAAGACTGTGCTATAACTAAATTCCCAGGCAAAACCACAAAGGGGGACAAAAAGATACAAAACATCCAGGCCAGGGGAAAACGTGGGTACCACAGCCACTCAAGGGGGAAGGTTTTTTAGTCCCAGGAGGAAAAAAAAAACGGGCGGGGAAATGGCAGAAATCGTACACCAAATCCAGTATTCCGGGAGTGGAACCACAGCGATGGCCTCCACTCCAAACCAACAGAACAATACTAACCCGGGAAAAAAAATCCCCCCCCCCATCCAAAACAAACCACCGTCCGTAACATTTTTCTTTGCAAATATACAGGGTCAAAAGCCAGCAACAAAAAAACAAAATATTTTCATCCGGGACTGTTTGCAAGGCAAAGGCAATGTTCGGGGCTTTTACTGAGCCCCATAAAGGACACTTGGAAACGTAATAGGATCCCGGTTACAACCTTATTTAAATGTCAGAGTGGGAAAAAGGCAAAAGGGGGGGGGGGGGCCTTACATTTTCAGAGTCACTTGTTTTCACAGAATGCTTAAAGCCTCAAAAGAGTAGTGGGAAATTTTTAGCAGTAAAAGGGCGGGAAACCAAAAAAATAGTCATTTTGGGATCTACAAGCCCCGGGGCAACACCCCGCAATTCCAAACAGCTTTTTAAAAAATTTCCACGGCTGGAAAATCTTCCTCTCCCGCACCCAACATCTTCTCCTGGGGAATTTTTAAATTAAGGACCTAAAATGGAGGAAATAGCAATAAATTGTTTCTAAAAAACACCAGAGGCAGCTCTGATGAAAACTCCACCACAGGCTTTTAAATCTTGCACAAAATTTTAATTTAAAACCCAAATAATAGAGCCAAAAGACTGGAGAAAAACCAACCTCATCTTTACTAAAAAAGAAAGACTGATAAGAAGTCACCAATCAAAAACAAATACTCGGGGTACAAAATAATTGAGGTTCAGACATGTATGCGGGAGCCCCAACCACATAAAGAACTATCACGAGGAGCTTCACCAAAATTCAACTTCAATAACAAAAACATAAAGTGGGACCAAGTAAACGAAGTCCTAACCGATATAAGCGGGGAAGATATACTAAGCAACACAGACCCCAACTTATGCCTAGAACAGATTAACTCGGTGGCACTCGATGTATGCACAAGGCTTATTCCTCTAAGAAAAAGGAGGAGTAGATGTAAAATAGAAAGAGACAGGCGCTCCCTTTACAGGCGACGGAAAAGAGTAACAGAGCGGCTAAAAGAGGTCAATATATCTGAAATGCGTAGGGAGACACTGGTCAGAGAAATAGCAAGCATCGAACTTAAGCTAAAAGAATCCTTTAGGAGTCAGGAATCGCGGGAAGAACTAAAAGCCATAAATGAAATCGAAAGAAACCCAAAGTATTTCTTCTCCTATGCCAAATCAAAATCGAGAACAACGTCCAGTATTGGGCCCCTACTTAAACAAGATGGGTCCTACACAGATGACAGCAAGGAAATGAGTGAGCTACTCAAGTCCCAATATGACTCAGTTTTTAGCAAGCCGCTAACCAGACTGAGAGTCGAAGATCAAAATGAATTTTTTATGAGAGAGCCACAAAATTTGATTAACACAAGCCTATCCGATGTTATCCTGACGCCAAATGACTTCGAACAGGCGATAAATGACATGCCCATGCACTCTGCCCAGGGCCAGACTCATGGAACTCTGTGTTCATCAAGAACTGCAAGAAGCCCTATCACGAGCCTTTTCCATCCTATGGAGAGGGAGCATGGACACGGGGGTCGTCCCACAGTTACTAAAAAACAACAGACATAGCCCCACTCCACAAAGGGGGCAGTAAAACAACAGCAAAGAACTACAGACCAATAGCACTAACATCCCATATCATAAAAAATCTTTGAAAGGGTCCTAAGAAGCAAGATCACCACCCATCTAGAAACCCATCAGTTACACAACCCAGGGCAACATGGGTTTAGAACAGGTCGCTCCTGTCTGTCTCAACTATTAGATCACTACGACAAGGTCCTAAATGCACTAGAAGACAAAAAGAATGCAGATGTAATATATACAGACTTTGCAAAAGCCTTCGACAAGTGTGACCATGGCGTAATAGCGCACAAAATGCGTGCTAAAGGAATAACAGGAAAAGTCGGTCGATGGATCTATAATTTCCTCACTAACAGAACACAGAGAGTAGTCGTCAACAGAGTAAAGTCCGAGGCAGCTACGGTGAAAAGCTCTGTTCCACAAGGCACAGTACTCGCTCCCATCTTGTTCCTCATCCTCATATCCGACATAGACAAGGATGTCAGCCACAGCACCGTGTCTTCCTTTGCAGATGACACCCGAATCTGCATGACAGTGTCTTCCATTGCAGACACTGCAAGGCTCCAGGCGGACATCAACCAAATCTTTCAGTGGGCTGCAGAAAACAATATGAAGTTCAACGATGAGAAATTTCAATTACTCAGATATGGTAAACATGAGAAAATTAAATCTTCATCAGAGTACAAAACAAATTCTGGCCACAAAATAGAGCGAAACACCAACGTCAAAGACCTGGGAGTGATCATGTCGGAGGATCTCACCTTCAAGGACCATAACATTGTATCAATCGCATCTGCTAGAAAAATGACAGGATGGATAATGAGAACCTTCAAACTAGGGAGGCCAAGCCCATGATGACACTCTTCAGGTCACTTGTTCTATCTAGGCTGGAATATTGCTGCACACTAACAGCACCTTGCAAGGCAGGTGAAATTGCCGACCTAGAAAATGTACAGAGAACTTTCACGGCGCGCATAACGGAGATAAAACACCTCAATTACTGGGAGCGCTTGAGGTTCCTAAACCTGTATTCCCTGGAACGCAGGAGGGAGAGATACATGATTATATACACCTGGAAAATCCTAGAGGGACTAGTACCGAACTTGCACACGAAAATCACTCACTACGAAAGCAAAAAACTTGGCAGACGATGCAACATCCCCCCAATGAAAAGCAGGGGTGTCACTAGCACGTTAAGAGACCATACAATAAGTGTCAGGGGCCCGAGACTGTTTAACTGCCTCCCAGCATACATAAGGGGGATTACCAACAGACCCCTGGCAGTCTTCAAGCTGGCACTGGACAAGCACCTAAAGTCAGTTCCTGATCAGCCGGGCTGTGGCTCGTACGTTGGTTTGCGTGCAGCCAGCAGCAACAGCCTGGTTGATCAGGCTGTGATCCACCATGAGGCCTGGTCACAGACCGGGCCGCTGGGGCGTTGACCCCCGAAACTCTCTCCAGGTAAACTCCAGGTAAACTGAAACATTACATACTGAAACATTACATACTGACACATTACATACTGAAACATTACATACTGAAACATTACATACTGAAACATTACATACTGAAACAATACATACTGAAACATTACTTACTGAAACATTACATACTGAAACATTACATACTGAAACATTACATACTGAAACATTACATACTGAAACATTACATACTGAAACATTACTTACTGAAACATTACATACTGAAACAATACATACTGAAACATTACTTACTGAAACATTACTTACTGAAACAATACATACTGAAACATTACTTACTGAAACATTACTTACTGAAACATTACTTACTGAAACATTACTTACTGAAACATTACTTACTGAAACATTACATACTGAAACATTACTTACTGAAACATTACTTACTGAAACATTACATACTGAAACATTACTTACTGAAACAATACATACTGAAACATTACTTACTGAAACATTACATACTGAAACATTACTTACTGAAACATTACATACTGAAACATTACTTACTGAAACATTACTTACTGAAACATTACATACTGAAACATTACTTACTGAAACATTACTTACTGAAACATTACTTACTGAAACATTACATACTGAAACATTACTTACTGAAACATTACATACTGAAACATTACATACTGAAACATTACTTACTGAAACATTACATACTGAAACATTACATACTGAAACATTACATACTGAAACATTACATACTGAAACATTACATACTGAAACATTACTTACTGAAACAATACATACTGAAACAGATAACTCATAAATCATCGCGTATTACAATATTAATTGTGTTGACACACGTATTCCTTCAGAGAGTTAGACATCTTCTAATTGTTTTAATCATAACCATGATTGTTAGAAGGGTGGACCGGTAAGCCAGCGGAAGTCCTCTGTCAGGTGAACAAAAACTCCAGCTGTGGGTCATATGATAAGACCCGCGTCAGGAAACACTTGCCCTGTTTCCTGGCAAACATTATACCTACCTATTCCCTCACAATCCAAGTATTTTTTCTACTTTATATTGGATTTGGTGACACAGCTGGCTTATGTAGTTCATTAGGTTTCTGTACACTAGGTTAATTGTAGTAGGAGAGAAGCCCGGGTCAGGTCACAGGAAAGGGAGGCAGGTCAGCCCATCAACTAGAGAGGACTCAAGTAGCCCCATTCTGAGTTACTCTCAGCATGGGGCTACAAGTACTCACGCATGGAAGGTGTATGCACGGTGGGAAACACGAATGGGTACTAGTAGGCCTACAACTTGAGTGGTTAACATATGCATTCATCAGTCGTAATTCCACTCAACTTCGGTGTTGCTGATTTTACAAGGAAGTTAGTCAACTTTTAACCAGGTTGCGAAATATGTGTAAAATATATAAATAATAGTCATTCATATAATGGTAGAATATTGTAAGTTAGTGACTAGCATGTGTAGTGATGGAGAGTCTTCTTGCAGGAGTGAGCGCCTACGATACTTGCGGGGGACCGCAGGCGGTGCTGCGGGCGGCGGTAACGGCTGTGGTGGACGGCGGCTACCTAGACTCCCCCAGGTGCAGGGCGGAGCCTCACGTGGGCGTCCTACACTCACACCCACACCACGCCCACCTATCTGCCTTTTTGAAGGTTCGCTCTTTCCTCATCTAAACCCCTGGCTAGTGACTAACAGAAAAATACTTAAATAGAAATTCTGATGTGAAGAAATGAAACTCGTTGCATTATGAACATTTCGCCGTATATAAATCTTTATCAAGTTATGATAAAACTCTAATTAGAGAAAAAAAATTGTTTCACTAAAAGCTAGCCCTGCAACATGTCTATTAACGGCAGTAGACATATAAAAATTGCTTTCAAATTCCATAGACAATGTAATTAGATACATCAAACATCACTGTTGAGCGTCTTAATTAGGATGTAAAGGGAACTGTTAAGACATTTTTGTTTTAAACTCGTATATTTCCCTACTGAAAAATTCTTCATTATTATCTGAACTTGGATGTTGTTTGTCAAGTATACCAAACTATCTTCCTGATAGGATTTAGATATTGCCTCCGTCAGCGTGGGAAGTGAAGACCAGGTGCCCCAGCTGGAGGCTCTCATGCAGCTCCTGGTTAGACTGAACTGGACCTCAGTGGCTGTAGCTGCTCCCTCCATCCAGGTTCGTAGTCTAGTTAATGACCTTCCATTAGTTAGGTAATAATCGACAGCAATAACGTTACTAAGGTTGCAACCAAAGTAATTACTACCAAGTAAATATACTTTAATTCATAAAAAAATGGACTATATTAGATTCCCAGTACATACATACTAAAAGGTTTTGAAAGATCATTCTATCCTCATTTTGCAACGTTCCGTTTCATAGTTATGACTAGCGTTAATTTGTGAACGTTCCATGCAATTAGAAAAAAAATGTTTAATATAAATTAGGTTCCAAAACCTATTAAAATGTATATTGAGCCTCAGAATAATAAAAATAAACATAACAGCGTTTACACATCTGGCAGCTCAGTGTCTGAAAAATCCCAGGTAACGTTCACATCAGCAGACAGATCACATGTAGTTTGAAATTTGGTGGAAAAATACTAACTATTAGACTAGTGAAGCAGCAGGTGTGTAACTAGAGCAGAGTGATCATCTTCCACAGGTACTGCAGCAGTTTGGTCACTTGGCAGCACAGTCTAGAGTGTGTGTTGGAGCAGAGGCCATCCTTCCTCCACCTACCAGGTACTAATACACTACCACTACCACACTGTCAGGTGGTACCACACTATCTAGCACAAAAAAAAAAAACTACCAGGTAATGCAACACAACCACATACAACATCACAACCAGATGCTATATCACCTGCCAGTTACCACAACTCCAGGTACCACAATACTACCAGGTACCACAACACTACCAGGCACCACAAGACTACCAGTTACCATATTTCTACCAGGTAACACAACATTACAGCCACTACAACACTACCTGGTAGTAAAACACTATCAGTTACCACAACACTATCAGGAACCATATCACTACCAGGTAACGCAACACCTCCAGGTACCATTACACCACCAGGTACCACTACACTATCAGATACCATAACACAACCAGGTACAACACCACTACCATTTACCACAACACTACCAGGTACCACAACACTACCAAGTACTATAACACTAGCAGGTACCACAACACTACCAGGTACCACAACACTATCAGGTATCACAGCTCTACCAGGTATCAGAACACTGAAAGGTACAATAATACTATCAGGTACAACACTACTAGGTACCACAACGCTACCAGGTATCACAACACTACTAAGTACTGGAAATATAAACACATATGCAGAATAATGTGATCCATTATTGACAACGTTTCGCCCACACAGTGGGCTTTTTCAAGTCACAAACAGATCTGTTTGTGACTTCAAAAAGACCACTGTGTGGGCGAAACGTTGTCAATAAAGGATCACATTATACTGCATATGTGTTTATATTTCCATTGTGTCGGTATTTTATACCATTTATTTCCACTACTAAGTACTATAATACTACTAGGTACAGCACTTCCTGGTACCACAACACTGCCAGGTTCTACAACACTACAAAACTACAAGGTACAACAACACTACCAGGTACTACAACACTACAATTACTACAACACTACCAGGTATTACAAAACTACCAGGTAATACAACACTGCTAGGTACAACAACACTACCAGGTACTACAACACTACCAGGTACTACAACACTACCAGGTACTACAACACTACTAAGTAATACAACACTGCCAGGTACTACAACACTGCCAGGTACTACAGAACTACCAGGTACTACAACACTACTAAGTAATACAACACTGCCAGGTACTACAACACTGCCAGGTACTGCAACACTGCCAGGTACTACAGCACTACCAGGTACTACAACAGTACCAAGTAATACAACACTGCTAGGTACTACAACACTGCCAGGTACTACAACTACAACACTACCAGGTACTACAACACTACCAGGTACTACAAAACTACCAGGTACTGCAACACTATCAGGTGCTACAACACTACCAGGTACTACAACACTACCAGGTACTACAAAACTACAAGATACTACAACACTACCAAGTATACCAACACTACCAGGTACAGCAACATAAGCAGGTACTACAACACTACCAGGTACAACGACACTACCAGGTACAGCAACACTAGCAGGTACAACAACACTACAAGGTACAACAACACTACCAGGTACAGCAACACTAGCAGGTACTACAACACTACCTGGTATTACAACACTACCAGGTACTACAACACTACCATGTACTACAACACTACCAGGTACTACAACACTACCAGGTACTACAACACTACCAGGTACTACAAAACTACCAGGTGCTACAAAACTACCATGTACTACAACACTACCTGGTACTACAACACTACCAGGTACTACAACACTACCAGGTACTACAACACTACCAGGTACTACAACACTACCAGGTACTACAAAACTACCAGGTACTCTAAAACTACCAGGTACTACAACACTACCTGGTACTACAACACTACCAGGTACTATAACACTACCAGGCACTACAAAACTACCAGGTACTACAAACCTACCAGGTACTACAACACTACCAGGTACCACAAAACTACCAGGTACTACAACACTACCAGGTACTATAAAACTACAAGGTACTGCAACACTACCAGGTACTACAAAACTACAAGGCACTACAACACTACCAGATATTACAAAACTACCAGGTACTACAACACTACCAGGTATTACAAAACTACCAGGTACTACAACACTAGCAGGTACTACAACACTACAAGGTACTACAACACTACCAGGTACTACAACATTACCAGGTACTACAAGACTTCCAGGTACTTCAGAACTACCAGGTACTACAAAACTAACAGCTGCTACAAAACTACCAGGAACAGCAACACTACCGGGTACAAACTACCGGGAAACAGAAAACACACCAGTAAAAAACACACCAGGTACCTTCATACTGCAACGAAAAAGCTCTCTATTTGTAGTCCATTAGTAACAGGTTAGATCCTGAAAAAAATAGTAACGCACTGAAACGTTCGTGTAAGATGCATAAGAATGTTATTAAAAAAAATCATAAGTATTTAAAAATTTCGTTGTGCTGAAGCAGGAATTCCAAGACTGCGTCCAACATGGCGGCTGTTTATTTACTTCACATGTTTGCGTTCAGACTTGATGGAAATGCAAGGAAAAATCTAAATATAGGTTTTCAGACAAAAATAATCCAGTAAAAATATATATTACAAAATCAGAAACACATGGTGATATACTAAATTACACGTAATGTATATTACTGAGTGTAAAATTTTTCGAGTCGGGAGAAAAGTCCCCAAACCCCCAAACGAAAATTTGGGGAACAATCTTTCCAACAAAAATTCATACTTGTGATAAATTTTCTGACAAAACTCATAATAAAATGGAAAATCAAGAAAAGGGGTAGAAATCGCTCTCTCGAGATTAAAATGTTATATCAAATAAAATTTGCCCCCCTTTTCCGTACCATATACTATTATAATGAGTGAAATCCCTGAAAAGCATGTAATGTTTAGTTTTTTTTTTTCCCTTTAATAAAGCGTAACGGTTTGAAACCCCGTAATTGTAAAAAAGGGGACATTTTGAATATGTTCAAAAGATTTTTGAAGTGCCTTGGGAATAAAAAAAGGGTTTTGACAGTAGGCATTTCGCGTTTAAGGTACATAAGAAAATTTAAATTTACAAGGTATGAGGAAAGATAACGAAGCATCGCTGGGCTGTGCCATCCCCCTTTCTGAGTATCTACTTTAGAAATGGGGGGGGGGGGGGGGGGGGGGGCGTGTAGGAAAAATTTAAAAGTTTAGGAGGCAGGATGAGAACAAAGAAATTAATGCCCCATGGCTAGAAGAGAATAGATAAAAATTAAATAAATAAGGAGAGAAATGTTTAAAGGAAGTTGATTAAAGAACAAGGTGATATGCAAAAAAAATTGTAAAAATATTTTACGGTGTTAATGATATAAGTAAGTCAATATGTAAAGAAACAGGGGAAGGAGAGAACAGAAGAGTGTTTAATGCGATAATGATATGAAAAAGAAAGTTTATGGTTTTTGGGCAAAAAAAAAATTAGTTTTTGCTTGACAGAGGGAACATGAGGCATGTAGCAAACTGAAGGGGGGAAGACTATGTGGTGGGAATAACCCTGAATTCTGAAGGGGGGAAGACAGTGGGGGTGGGGAATAACCCTGAAGTTCTGAAGGTGGGAAGACTATGGGGGGGGGAATAACCCGAATTCTGAAGGGGGGAAACTATGGGGGTGGGGAATAACCCGAAGTTTCTGAAGGTGGGAACTAGTGGTGGTGGGGAATAACCCGAAGTTCAAGGGGGGGAAGACAAGGGGGGTGGGGAAAAACCCCTGAAGTTCTAAAGGTGGGAAGACTATGGTGGGGGGGGAAATAACCTGAATTCTAAGGGGGGAAACTAGGTGGGGGAAAAAACCCGAAGTTCTGAAGGTGGGAAAACTAGTGGTGGGGGGGAATAACCCTGAAGTTCTGAAGGTGGGAAGACAAGGTGGGGGGGAATAACCCTGAATTCGAAGGGGGAAGCAGGGGTGGTGGGGAATAACCCTAATTCTGAAGGTTGGAAGACTATGGTGGGGGAGAAAAACCCGAAGTTTTGAAGGGGAAGACTATGGGGGGGGGAATAACCCTGAAGTTTCTAAAGCGGGAAAAGACTAGTTGGTGGTGGGAATAACCCTGAAGTTTTGAAGGTGGAAGACTATGAGGTGGGAATAACCCTGAAGTCTGAAGGTGGGAAGACTATGGGTGGGAAAAACCCCGGGAATTCTGAAGGTTGAAACTATGGTGTGGAGAATAAACCCTGAAGTTCTGAGGTTTGGGAAGACTAGTGGTGGTGGGAATAACCCTGAAATTTCTGAAGGGGGGAAGACAAAGGGTTGGGAATAACCCTGAAGTTCTGAAGGGGGAAACTAGTGATGGTGGGAAATAACCCTGAATTTTTCTGAAGGTAAGACTAGTGGTGTGGAGAATAACCCGAAGTTTCTGAAGGTGAAATTATGGTGGTGGGGAATAACCCTGAAGTCTGAAGTGGGAAACAATTGGTTGTGGGTAATAACCCTAAGTTCTGAAGGTGGAAGACTAATGGTGTGGGAATAACCCTAAATTTTTGAAGTGGGATGACTAGGGGTGGTGGGAATAACCCTGAAGTCTGAAGGTGGAAGACTAGTGGTGGTGGGAATAACCCTGAAGTTCCGAAGGTGGGAAGACTAGTGGTGGTGGGAATAAGCCGAAGTTCTGAAGTGGAAAACTATTGGTGGGGGAATAAGCCTGAAGTTCGAAGGTGGAAACTAGTGGTGGTGGGAAAATAACCCTGAAGTTCTGAAGGTGGAAGACTAAGTGTGGTGGGAAAACCCTGAATTTCCCTGAAGGGGGAAACTAGTGGTGTGGGAAAAACCTGAATTCTGAAGGTGGGAAGACAGTGGTGGTGGGGAATAACCCTGAATTTCTGAAGGTGGAAACTAGGGGTTTGGGGGAATAACCCTGAAGTTCTAAAAGGTGGGAAACTAGTGGGTTGGGGAATAACCCTGAATTCTGAAGTGGGAAAACTATGGGGGTGGGAAATAACCCGAAGTTCTAAAGGGTTGAAGACTATTGGGGGTGGGGGAATAACC